ATATAAGATACTCTTAGTAGTAGTACTAGAACTCTTTTTTTCTATTTCACAAGTCTATAATAATTTTTTAGACTAAATTTTCGTTAGTCTGTAATAATTTCCCCATTTTCAAATACTAGAGCTTAATTATACTTAATTCTTATTCATAATTTTTTTTCCTGTATTAATTTGTACATTTAATTTATTATTTCTGTATATGATTTTCACAGGCCTCTAATAGTTATTCTGCATTCAATATCACCAAAAATTTTCTCAGATCAGTAAAAGAAACACCATTTTCTTGCATAACATAGGACTATAAAAATTTCTTGGAGTAGAACATCAATTTTAATAAATGATTTCTACTGGTTCTTAATGTGTATTTTTTACTTATTGCCTCATAACAGTATTTCACAGGGCTCTAATATTTATTTTCATTCAATTCCATCAAAAGTTCTTTCAGATTACAAAAAGAAACACCATTTTCTTGCATTTTATAGGACTATAAAAGATTCTTAAAGTAGAATATCAATTTTAACAAATGATTTCTACTGGTTCCTAATGTGTATTCTTTACTTATTGTCCCATAATAGTATTTCACAGGCCTCTAATATTTATTCTTCACTTAATATTATCAAAAGTTCTCTCAGATTAGTAAAAGAAATACCATTTTCTTGAATTTCATAAGACTATAAAATTTTGTTAAAGTTGAACTTCAATTTTAATAAATGATTTCTACTGGTTCCTAATGTGTATTCTTTACTTATTGTCCCATAATAGTATTTCAAAGGCCTCTAATATTTATTCTTCACTTATATTACCAAACGTTCTCTCAGATTAGTAAAAGAATCACAATTTTATTGCATTCTATAGGACTATAAAATTTTTTTAAGTTGAACATCAGTTTCAATAAATGATGTCTACTGGTTTCTAATTTTTTTTTTTTACTTATTGTCCCAAAAGTTATGAATTAGCAAACAATATTATAAAACTGTATAAAGCCGATTGGCGTATAAATAAATAAATAAATGAATAAAATAATATTTCACACTTTCACAGGCCTTTAATATTTATTCTTCATTCAATATCACCAACAGTTCTCTCAGATTAGTAAAAGAAATACTATTTTCTTGCATTCAATAGGACTATAAAAATTTCCTAAAGTAGAGGACTATAACTTTTTTTTAAAGTTGAACATAAATTTTAATAAATGATTCCTACTGGTTCCTAATGTTATTCTTTACTTATTGCCCTAAAATAGTACTTATAAGCCTCTAATAATTTCATAGGTTCAATTTCCATAGGGCTCTATTAATTACTCTTTATTTAATTAGATATCTATTCTAGACAGTATTAACTCTGAGAACTGTTACTGTACTATATAGTAAAGTTGTCTTATGATTAATTTCAAAAATTCGCGAAAAACGTCTAGTGGTTTTTGTTGCTGTTACGTTGGTAGTATGCGTCTTGAAACTATGTTCACAACTCTAGGAACATAGGAACATAGCATACTTAGTTTTGGACCGTAGATAGAAATGAAGAAATGTTTATCTCAGAATTGTAACTGTACTATATAGTAAAGTTGTCTTATAATTAATTTCAATGATTTGCGAAAAACGTCTAGTGATTTTTGTTAAATATTGTGAGTTTAAGTATTTTGTGAGTTTTGTTTGTTTCTATGTTCACAACTTTAGGAACATAGCATACTTTGTTTTGGACCGTAGGCAGAAATATAGAAGTGTTCATCTGAGAACTGTAACTGTACTATATAGTGAAGTTGTATTATAATTAATTTCAGATATTTAGGGAAAACGTCTATCGGTTTTTGATGCTGTTACGTTGGTAGTATTCGTCTTGAAACTATATTCACAACTTTAGGAACATAGCATACTTACAATTAGTTTTTGACCGTAGACTTTAATGAAGAAATGTCTATCATATTTTTAAAAAGAGGGGGCATTTCAATTATCTTTATATCTTCAGTTTATTTTTGAAAGATATATACGCCATGTACTTATTACAGTGTTGTCCGATAAAACAGAATAAAAAATTTCATTATTTATATTCAAGTAAAGAAAGAATATAAAATATAGGGTACATTGGGGTACATATTAAGTACATATCATACTTACTTATTTTTGACAGATTTTATTTTTGAGCCTATGCCAACAAATAATTTAGTGTAATCCGATGAGGTAAAATAAGAATAAACTATTTTCAATTATTTATGGCATGTTATAAATAGAACAGTGGGCATAATGTTATTATATTTCCTAGGTGAAACAATTTCCAATTGTTCTTATCTCGTAAAAACAAATTGCATAAGATGGCGATAAGAACAAAGCGTCGACAAATATAAATATAAATAAATTTAACGACCAGGTTTCATATTATTATTAGTGTATGTGTGTGTTTTGTGTATTACATTATGTTTCTCTAAATTGAAATTCCTAAATAAATAATTTATCGTTTCGCCATTGTAATATTTATCGCCATAGATAAGGAAAAGTGTTAGAGCGCACGTACTGCCCCCGCGCGAATGATTCGACGAACTACGACGAAAATAATATTTTAAATTTAATCTAGTGGCGTATATATTCAAGTATTTTGAGGTAAATAAATGGAATTAATAGATGCTTGTGAGAAATGAAAAAATAGGTTTAGAGTTTTTAGTGAAAGCGAAAACTTTATTTTTGAAATAAATAATTGAAATTTATATACGCATAGTTTTTAAGCAATTCGAAAAAATCTTTTTATCTTATTAACAGACGTATATCAAACCAACCTTTCTATAATGGTACGGAACCCTGAAACCTGTATCGGCTAACCTAAAAAAATTCATAATGACAAAAAAGTGGAAATGAATTAAATAGTGAAAAAAGTGAATGAATATTGTTGATTTAAAAAAAGTGGACAGTTAAGTTAAGTGTCGCCAACATTATCAAAAAAATGAGGATTATAAAACAGCGACCGGAGGGGGCCGGCTGCCGTTGGTCGCTCTGGAATTTTGCGGCCAACTTCACAAGCAAAGGTATTGCCAACATTATAATAAGAGGGATCATGGTGTGAGGATAAAATAAATTTAATATTTAATATTTTTAAACTGTAATTAAATATATAATTTATTTTATTATGTTCTGTTTTATAAAATAATTTAAAATAATAAAACTCCATTCTTGTTCTTTTGTAAGTGTATAAAACTAAAATTTCAGTTTACATTTATAATTTATTATTTTAATTATCTAATGTCATATTTTTGGGGTTTTCTCTTATACACATCTTGCAGCAAGTCAATCTTATTCTGTTCCTAATGTTATATAAGTGCAATATCTATTCTCAGCCACATGTTTCCAAGCAATAGATCGTCAACTGATAATTATGGGGCCGATTCTGCCGTAAAATAGACCAATGTTATGGCAAGGCTATGTTATGTAGCAGTTCTCATATAAAGTGGTACGAAAAACTGTCAAAATCCTATGTGGTTACTGTGCAGTTAGGCGATTTATGGACCGATTCTGCCGCACAACAGACCAATATTATGGCTAGGCTATTTCATGAAGAACTTTTACACAAAAGCCATGTGGTTGTTGTGCACTCATGCGTTTTTTCCCAGGTTATCAGAGAGAAAATCTAACCTAGAAACCGCACAAATGTCAAAGAAAACGATTTTAGATAACAGGGTCTTTCTGACCCAGCTTCATAACATACGAGTGACGTTACAGTTTATGTGTAAAACGCCTGAATGCACAGCAAATACTTGACATTTTGACAGTATTCAGTATGATTCAGTGGCATAATGTATGGAAAGTTGGAGCGTAACCTGGCCTTGTCATAACATTGGCCTGTTGTGCGGCAGAATTGGCCCATTAGATAGAAACCTAATCTAGAAAACGCACAATTGTCAAAAAATGATGTTACCATAACTGATTTATTTTGAGATATGGCTTGATAACATATGAGTAAAGTTGCATTTTAGATGCAAAACGCCTGATTTCACAGCAAATACATTGCATTTTGACAGTATTTATTACCATTTTGTATGAAAACTGAGATGTAACATAGCCTTGCCATACCATTGATATATTTTACAGCAAAATTGGTCTAATATTTGAACCGTTCGATTAGTATGAATGATAAATTCGAACAGTTTGTTCAAAATTAAATATTTTATAATATTATCTAATATAATGATATATTATACAACACCTATAATTAACTTCTCGTAGGGTAAGTTATAGTAATTGCAAAAAATGGAACATGAGAATTTTTGCATACATTCACGTTTCTTAGGTTTCTGAACATTTTGGCATACCTTAAAAAAATGGATGTATGTGTGTGTGTATGTGTGTGTATGTGTATGTGTATGTGTATGTGTATGTGTTTGTGTTCGTGTTCGGACACAAAATTTCTGTCGACGATTCCGGAAACACGCATCAACCGATTTGAATGATTCAAGAAACATTCGATTCCTATTGATAAGTAGACGTGCTGATTAGTTTTTGGACAAGGCAGGTCCAGCCGTTTCAAGGCAGGTCTAGTAGTTTCGGAGATCGAGTAAAAAAAGTAAAAAAATACCATCTGGCGGTCAAAAATGATCATTAGACTTATGCACATCAAATTATCAGATCTTTTATAGAGATTTTTATAATAAATATAAATCTTGTTTTTTTTCTATGGATTCCGTAACATTGTTTACCGTTTAGACTGCGACGCAGCGCTTACGCGCTTCGATATTTTGTCTTTACGCAGCTGAAGCAGCGCGATTGCTTTGATAAAATGATAAAAATTTAATTTTTGGTACGGAAAATTCCAGCGATTTGTCTTGAGGCACGATGCCATAATTTGTTCATTCGATAAGTATAAACAATGTGCAAATTTTTCTGTATACACAAACAAACATAAAGTCCGTATCCATAATAATGAAGTTAACACAGTCGCCATCTATCGTCAATCTTTTCTACTTCCACGTGTTTTGAGCATGTGTGAGTGCGCCTTTAGAACCAGAACACGATTGTACCGCTAGGAAAGAAAGTCATTGCACTATTACATTCTATTTCTTCTTCTTTATGAATCAACTTGACGTATTAATATTTATAGATTATTAAATATCATTTGTATTATTTTTTGGTTATTTTTTAATTTAAATTATTTGAGCGAATGCGGTTTTTGTAAAATAATTTGTGTCGGTGCAAAAAGTTTTGTGCAATATGTGATAAAATTTTGATAGCTGCAAAATGTTGATGGCATTGGTTAGATCAGGTAGGACAATGGTGGAAAAAATTATATGTAAAATATGTAATAAAATTCTAGAAACCTCCAGCCCCTTTCTCAAAAGTAATATTAAATAATAAAAATAATTATAATTAAAATTCTTTTAATGGAAGTACTCATGTTAACTTTATTTTAATAAACCAATAATAAAAATTTAGTATTAGAATAAATATGCTAATTTGTTGACCCCTTTTTGCCCATTAGTTTTCTCCCTTTTGTCTTAAATTTGTCTCCTTCGGGAATTCCCGGCTAGTTTCGTTGATTCTGTGTTGCCTGATGGTGACATAAGGGTTGAATTTACGAGAAGGAACAAATATAAATGTCTTAAGTTTCTACGGAATTTTTAAACAAAAAACAAATCTGTTTTATAATTTTGTTCTATTGAGAGCCCATGACCTTTTTCTTAAGTCGTTTTTATCTTCGTCTTCTTCTGGATTCTTCGAAGGGTTTTGTCAATTTTGTGTTGTTTGATAGTTACTATAAAGTTAAGAAAAAAAGTATTTATTTATTTCCATTGCAAGCCTTTTTCGAACTTCACCCTTCTTCATTCGGAAATTTTCGGCCGCTCTCGTTGATCCTGTGTTGCCTGATGCTACTAAAAGGATTAGGAATGAATCTGATTCAAAATTGTCCTTTTCTAATTTTTGTGAATATTATAGTTTTTGTGAACGTTTTTGAGACTCTTTTTTTAAATGTAATATAATGATAAATGCAAAATATATGAAATATGTCTTATGTTTAACTCTTTTTTTCGACTTCTCCTTCGGAAATTTTCGGCAGCTTTCATTAATTCTGGGTTGCCCGATGATTCTAAAGGATCGTTTGATTCATATTGTCTTTTTTTAATAATTTTGAGACTCATTGAGTTTTTTTTAATATAAAATAATTGTAAATGGAAAATATATTTGACTTTATGGAAATTTTAAACAAAAAAAATTTTTTTTTCTTCTCCTTCGGGAGTCAACGGTAAGTTTTGTTGACTTTGTGTTGCCTGATGGTTACAAAGGGTTTTGAGGGTTGGGGTACATGACCACGTGAAACATCTGAAGAAATAGAATCTGTATGATTTTTTTTTTACTTTTTGTTGAAAATTTAGTCTTCAAAAAAATTCTGATAGACACAAAATATTGTTATAAACCCGTGGGATATATTTTCCGTGAAATTCTTCTGATTTACTTATATCTATTGCAATATTATAATCAATATATGACAATTATTAAAATTGTTTATTTGAGTAATTATTTCATAGCTTAAAATATTTTGCACAGGTGGTACGGAACCAGAGATTATGAAGAGTATGAAAAAAATATTTAAAATTTATGCAGTGTGATTATCACTGCATAAATTTCAAATATACACACATACACACACGCGCACACACATACACACACGCGCACACACATACACACACGCGCACACACATACACATATATATATATATATATATATATATATATATATATATATATGAATATTCAATTTATAAATAAGTATACATAATAATTTTGATAAACAAATTCAATAAAAAATCAAGGATGATTGCTTTCTAATTTCAATTCACCATTATATATATATATATTTATATAAATCTTATATATAAAATTCTTCTGTACGGGTGTATGATTTGATACTTCTCCTAAACGGTTATTCGGATTTTGATCATTCTTTTTAGAGTTTGTCAAAGAAAATTTTTAAAGTTTAATAAACGATAAAACTATAGTAATATTGTAGAAATAAATGGCAAGAATTAAAAAAAGCACTTATAATTGTTTGACATTGAAAACCTTTGAAATGTCATCTGCTAGAAATGTCAATTAACTTGAAATTTAAATTTCGGTAACATTATGAGCCTAGATAATATTAGAGTATAATATACAAGAAAAATGTAAAGTCTACATTATTATTGCCGAAAAGCAGCTGAGATGTGCCAGAAATTAAATTAAATAATATAAGATACAGTCAGCAGTATATGTTTGGCAGATGAGAATATATTATTCAGTTTAATATATAACGCAACAAGTCCAAAATTGCATATACATGATTTTTTTAAACTTATGCATGTTGCATTTTGGTTTTCTTTACTAAACTATTTAACAATACAAAAAATATTTCTACTTATTAAAAAATGATTTAGAATTTTATTTCATGAGTTTCTAGTTTTTATTTAACTATATTTTCCGCAGGTCTATTTGTTCCTTTTGTCAACTTGCCAATAGGCTAAATGTAATTACAGCAAGTATTATTTTTTAAAATGAGATTCTATCTAAAAATAATCGTGACATTCAGATATCTTTGAATAAATTTGAATAATTTCTTGAATAAACCTATTATGAAATTGTGAAGATGGAAGCGCGTTACACAACATATGACACTTTGCAAAGATTTTAAATCAACATTATTAATTCTTCCTTATTTATAAATAGAACACACTGTATAAGAAATTTGGTTTTTGTTTAATTCTTTAGTTCTTTTAATAGCTTATTAATAATAATTAACCAATTAAAATAATGTATCAACAAATGCACCTTATAATAATTTGTTTTTGCAAACATTTATTTAGTAATGCATTATTTAAAAATTTATTTACTTATAAAATACAAATTAAAAACTTTTTGACATTAATGTAACTAACATTAGCACATTGACTAAGGATCATTTTACATCTCATCTATTTTGATTTTGACCAATATGTCTTTATATTGGCAACACTGCACAATGTGTGTGGTATCATTCTTTATTTTTTGGGGCTACACACCTTCAAATTGGAACCGCTGACGAAAGGTCTTTTATACCTGTTCTACTACTTTGAGACTATTATATTTTTATATTGGTAACACTAAGCACCATGTTATTTTTTTTTGGGCAAATAATGTACCGAGTGTGCCGCATAACAGAACAATGTTATGGAAGGCTGTTATGAAGAACTTTCCAAACTAAATATTGACAAAATCCTTGTGGTTGCTGTGCAGTTAGGCGTTTTTCTCAGGTTGTCAGAAAGAAAACATAACCTAACCAAATGTCTAAAAAACAATCTTGGATAACAAGGTCTTTCTGACTCAGCTTTATAACATACGTGTGACGTTGCAGTTTATGTGTAAATCGCCTGAATGCACAGCAAATACATGACATTTTGACAGTATTCAGTATGATTCAGTAGCATAATATATGGAAGTTGGAGCGTAGCATGGCCTTGCCATAACATTGGTTTTGTTTTGAGGCATAATCGGGCCATTAGATACAAAACCTAACCTAGAAAACCCACAAATGTTAAATTACCCAGATTATTATTTTAACTTCATATTGGTAACACTGTACCTGGCATTTCTTTTATTTTTTGAGGATTTTCTATCTTCACATTGATCACTAAGGCCTAGTTATATTTTTGTAGGCCCAACGGTGGCGATATCGCTTCGAACCAACTAGTCCCGGGTTTCCTGGTTCGATTCCCGCTACCGCCAAAGCCCGACATCAGGCAACTTTGATGTCAAATTTCCACTTGAGGTTATAATCTCAAATATAGCCCCAATGTCAACAAATACTTAGAGTATAGTTAATTAGTCATAATTGGATTGGACAACTACTGGGTTGCCATCCGTTCCAAAATCCTTATAATAAAAGTCAAAACAATTACTGAATGTCCTAAGTGTGACAGATTGTAATTAAAATTTGCAACAATAATATTTTGTCTATTATTTTGAGCAAGTTAGAGAAAAACTTTATTCACAACATTTTACATAAATATTTGCATAAGATTTCGTCACCGTGTCGTATAGGAAGTCTGGACCTTCTAATTTTGCAATATCGATTATTAAAATCAATATTTTGAGAGTATCGGTATCCGTAAACGTTATCGATTACGTAAATTGTCATTCGATACTTCGTGACGATACGGAAACACAATTTATTAATTCTTGTGCAACTTGCCAGTATACTCGATATATACTAGATGACCCTACAAACGTTGCCCCTGTACCCTTGTTTACAATTCAAAAGTTCCAAATTTTTAAATTCCTATGCTATACTTTTTAATATCCTATTTGATGTCCTGCCTTTGTGATTCAATTATGGTCTTAGCATAAGCAGTATAAAAAATTCAGAAAAAAATAATATAGTATCTACGCTAAAAGAAACAATGTCGCACTTGATTTTACCACACAAGATAATTGCTTCAATAATTTAGTCTATAATTTTTACAATCTCGTACGATATAATAGTTGCTTTTTGGCAATTATAATTTTTATAGTACATTTTTCTTCTATTAATTTTTATAAACATTATTGTTTATGTTCAAATCTTAGGTGAATTAATTTGTAAAATCTAGTTCATATGTGCACTATTCAATCTAAGATCAACTTGCTCAATATTCCAGATCCAATGCCAAATAAATGAATTTCTGACACATGAAACAAAATTCTAAATCATTTTTTAATAAGTAAAAATATTTTTTTGTATTGTTAAATAATTTAGTAAAGTAAACCAAATTGCGACCGACATGCATAAGTTTAAAAAAATAATGTATATGCAATTTAGGACTTATTGCATTATTTATTAAACTGAATTATATAATTTCATCTACCAAACATCATATTCTGTTGACTGTATTTTATATTATTTTAATTTCTAGCACATCTCAGCTGCTTTTTGGTAGGCATTACATTTTTCTTGTATCTTACATTCTAATATTATCTAGGCTCATAATGTCACCCAAATTTTAAGTAAATTGGCATATCTGGCAGATGACATTCAAATGTTTTCAATGTCAAACAATAATAAGTTGTTTTTTTGTAATGTTTGCCATTTATTTCTACAATATTATTTTATTATCCTGATCCTTTATTTTGTTAAAAATAAGTATTTAAACATCTCGATTTTTTTTCAACTCCCGCACTAAATCTAAAATCTTCTCATGATTTGTTTCTGACTTTTGGTATTATGTTAATTTTAAAGACAAATAACTGTTTGCTAATTTTAGAGATAACAATTTGCTA